AGGCGGTCAAAGGCCGAGGCTGTGAGGATGCGGGAGATGGGGAGGAGAAGCTCGGTCCAGCTGGCTGCGAAGCGCGGACGGACCAGCTCCGCTCGGCTGGCGCCGTCGTCGACGTCTTCGTCTCCGTCGCCATAGTCGTGGTAGACCGTGCTCGTCGGGTCGCTGTCGTCCCGTGGCTGGTATTCGATGTCTCGGAAAGCATCTGCAAGGATGGGTCGCAGGCGGTGCTTGACGACATTGTTGAATACGACCTGGATGCCGTCGGACAGGAGGTCATTCACTTTGGACTCAAAGGACGAGGCGAGCGTCTGCAGCGTTCGAGCCGCAAGTTGGGCTTCTGCAGGCACGGGGAAGAGGGACTTCAGCTGGTCCGTTTCCTCGACCTGACCATCAGGGCCAGTGATGGACTTTTTAGTCTCGCTGTGGTTCTGCACAATGCGACGTATGTAGTCGACGGCAACATCCAGGTTGTTGATCAAGACGAGAAAAGAGATCACGGTCTGTTCAGGCGGCTGAGCCCCCTGGACGGGCGCCTTGGGATAGCATTCATCGCGCATCTTTCTTTGGGTCATTCCGATGAAGTCCGATCCAAGGACCCGTGACAATGTGGGGACGACATTAGTCACTACCGAGATTTGTGACGTGGCCAGTGACTGCTGCAGGACCTTGTTGACGATATACATGATGTCGTCCACTGCAGATGTGATATGAGGAGGATCCGCCTTCAATGGCTTGTGCGGTTGCAAGGTCAGACCAGAAGGCTGTTCATCCAACTGGAACGCCTTTTCAACCGAGCGACGGAAGAAAAAGGTCGTCATAGTATTGAATGGGTTGGTCAGACGGTCATTGATTTTCTTGGAAAGACTGGCCTCCTGTAGAAACCTGGGTGGCGTAAATTTTTGGCTCTCGTCCTCGGTGGCCTTGCATAGAGTCAGCTTTCTGAATACATCCATCCAAAGGCTTTTTGAGACAATCGGATAACTTACATTGCAAGTTTCAGCGATGAATCGACAGTAGAGAGACCAGCGGCCCAGCATGACTGCCATTTCGTTTAGTAACCCGTCGATCTCTTTCATGTCTACCCCCTCATCTTCAGCGGGGAGCCCATCGCGAGTCGCTGGGGAACTCGACCGAGGCGTTCCACTGCGTTGAGCAGGAAGGAAACTTTGCACCAAGAAAGTAAAGGCATACGATTTGATGTCTGTAAGCTTGCGATCGACGTGCCGCTCGTCGCTCCAGGTGTCCAGAATAATCCCACCCTGGAGATCCGCCTCGAGCTGTAAACGTTCAATGACCCTGTTCATCTTCCGCGGACCGTAATGGCGCTCCACCAGGCCTCCATGTCCATCAATGAGTTGGGCGATATGCTCAAACAGTTTCGTGAGCGCATTTGCGTAGAAGAAGCCATCTTTGCTTTGAGCACCTCCTGTGCCGGCATTGAGGTTCGTTCGCGCTCGCGATGCCACTCCTTGGCATACGTAGCGCCCGTACACATCCAGACCAACTTCAGAGCGACCAATGAGAGGGAACAGCTTGAAGAAGCGTGTGATCTTGGCGCCATCGTTCTCGTTGACGGCCTTGTCGAACTCGCGCAGAAATAAGCCACAAAGCGATTCAGCCGCATTGTCTAGAGTGACGTTTGGCGGGTCAGGAACCTCAGCGGTCGGCACCATCTCAGCTGCAAAAGTACCATGAACCACTTCCGGAGGTATCTTGGACGCCCTGTTCAGATAACTGGCCGCCGTTTCCCAGTCCTGCGGAGCACCCATGGAGCCTGCAACCCCCAGGACGCAAGCCTTCAGCTCCGAAACCTGCTCTACCACCTCCAGCGTCGCTTTCACCCTTGACTGCTCCAGATCGAGCCGACGGACGGCACTCGAGATGCGATCTGCGGTAGCCGCAGCATCGGACAACATGCCATGGCTGATTGAGCGGGTGGTGCTGGTCTGGGAACCCAGATGAGCGCGTAAAAGATCCAATCGCCCTAGCTCTCGAGAGAAATCTTTCTGCGAAGCGACGAGGGCGTCCAGCCGAGCGGTGACTGCGGCTTCTTGCTCATGGAGATGTGACAGGGCGGCCTTGATCTCCGCAACGGAACTGGCGTTGAACACGTCAATTGGGAGATGAGAGTTTGCGCGTACTCCTTTTTGTTCTGCGGACGAGGCCACATGCCCGTTGGCAATGGAGTTTGTTGTCCTGGACATCGTTTCCGGGCTCCTGATCGACGGGGAGTCGGTAGAAGATGCAATGTGTCTTGTTGATGCGTCAGATTACAGATACGGAGTAGATAGAGACACCCACCAGTGGGCGGTGAGAAGCTCATAGCCAGCTGCTTGTTGTTGCTTCAGACCTGCAACGGTCACTCGTTTGAGAGAAGGGTGATGGAGTTCATATTGAAGAGCAGTTTCTTCTGTTAGCAACTAATTCCTGATGCAAGACGCATGAAAATAAAATATCAAATCTGCTTCTTGGAGACCGTTTGCCCTACAATTGCAAGCCTCAGGCAGCCCAACCCCACCCACTACCCAATCGGGGGATTTTCTCCTTCTGAGATATCAACTCGACGTCATTTGCTACTGGTTCGCTGTCAACGGGTGATTTTCTTTCGTTACGTCTTTGTGCCTCTATTATTCATCATTTATAATCTCAATCATAATTGATAAGAAGTTGAGCTCCTTTACTTGCTGCCATTGACCGCCGACGAAGTTGCAGACACCAGCAAAGCGGCTCAGTGCTGGCTATTCTCGAAGCAAGCATGGGCAGTGAAACGTCCACTGTGGTCGATGAGGGAACTGCCCCATCGGTACTGGAAGCGCGGAACATTGAAGCCGTAGCCAAATATATGAAGGAGAAAGATGTGCGACGCATTGTGGTCATGGTATGCCATCTTCCGAGATCGTCCCTCATTTCCCTGCATGCGCTGTCGGAGCATGTGGCTGACGGTGGTGATGGCAGGTAGGGGCTGGAATCAGTACCTCGGCGGGCATTCCCGATTTTCGCTCCCCAGAGACAGGTCTTTACTCCAATCTAGCCTTCCTAGATCTGCCAGAGCCCGAGGATGTGTTCGATATCAGTTTCTTTCGAGAGAACCCTCGACCGTTCTACGCCTTGGCGCGTGAGTTGGCGCCTGGCCGGTATCGACCGACTATTGCGCATTCGTTTGTCAAGTTACTGCACGATAAGGGGCTGCTGTTGAAACACTTTACACAGAACATTGATTGTTTGGAGCGCCTGGCGGGAGTCCCAGGCGAGAAGATTGTCGAGGCCCATGGTAGCTTCGCGTCACAAAAATGTATTGACTGCAAGGCGGCGTACCCAGAACCTCAAATGAAAGAGGCTATTGCCAAAGGGGAGGTGCCCTATTGTCCTCATTGCAATGGGTTTGTGAAGCCGGACATCGTCTTCTTCGGGGAAGCTCTGCCCGAGGAATTCCATTCGAACCGGAGTCTCCCAGAACAAGCAGATTTATGTATCGTCATGGGTACGAGTCTATCTGTACAGCCATTTGCTAGTTTACCGGTGTTCTGCCCTGAGGGGATTCCGCGAGTGCTGATCAACATGGAACGTGTGGGAGGTATGGGGTCTCGTCCCGACGATGTTCTTCTTTTGGGCGATTGTGATGCTGGTGTGCGAAAGTTTGCACGAGCGCTCGGTTGGGAACAGGAACTTGAGGCACTTTGGGAGAGCACGAACCCTGATAAAGAGGCGCGAGAGGCAGAGAATGCTCCTTTATGGATGAGAGACGAACGACTACAGGACGAGGTGGAGCGTCTGACAGAAAAAGTTGATCGAGCGTTGGAATTGTCCGGGGCGTATCGAGACAGAGTGCGACAGCAATTAGACCGTCATTCTCAGAAGGAAGCAAGCATCAGACAAGGGACGGCAGCAGCCCACGCCTTGTCGAGTAAACAGCCCCTGGGCCAGTCGTCCGGAATCTCCCGCGACGAGGAGACGGACGGACGACTTGCCCAGGATGAGCCTGTCAATGGAGATGTGAAGGCAAGGGAGCTACAACCAACAGCTGTGCATGACAGCGAGGGGGGTTTGGGACATGTGTTTCCTCATTTGGACAGTCAAAGGAAGGAGTCATCTGCCATGTGAGCCATGTGAGTCCTTTTAGTGTAGGAAACCACTGCATCCACTATTTGGTGATGGCGTCGATGTGGCTTTTGGCGGATCCCGGATGGTTGATTCTTGCGCATCATTACCTTTCTCACCTTTCTCACCTTTCTCACATGAATGAAATCTAAATGAGAATTTGAAGGTGAGAGATGGGAGAACATAGTATGCGAAATAATGAAGTAATGAAGATGAGCTTTGATCATGAAAAGACAATGAAGTCTAGTCTGGATCATCTAGTCTAGTTAGTTATGGCACTCATAATAAGCAATGTTCTAGAAGTGATCAGCTCATACTGAATGATTGACTATTGAGGCGCCAACAGCGGAACTGATGCATCACAAAAGGATCTCCGAGTCTCACCGGCTTTTGGGAGATTTGATTCTCAATCTTTGCTACTCTTTAGATAATCCTTTGGGAAGCATTATGATTATCAAATCCTGGAAAAGGTGCGGATATACTCCGTAATCCGTGTGAACCCCAACCCCAACCCCTGGAGCAAGTAGCTAGACGTTGATGGAGCATCAATGGAGCAATGTCAAAAAGTTTCGATTCTCACTAAAAAACGACTGCAGCTGAAAGAGACCAACCGGTGAGGAATCGGATGATCAACGGCCACTGTGATTTCATCGTTCTGCGGGGCTTTTTCTCTCTCTTGGACCTTCTCCGGTCGCTGCCCCACGGTGTAGATAGTTCCTAGTTCCTAGTTCCTACTAATAGAACTCTACCTCATACTCCATAGTTATTCTTATTATCAACATCCTCCCCCCACCTCCAACTCATCTTTGTCTTTCTCTCTCTTCTCCCTCTTCTTTCATCTCATATATCCTTCATTGTTCATATCTAACGTCCCCCCCCTTAACACACACCCTAATAACACAATGGTCGGAATTGGCCCCAAGCGCCCCCCATCCCGCAAGGGTAGGTCAACCTGGTCGAAGCTACAAACCAGTTGGCAGAGTGGCTCATTTGAATCGGAATTGTAACAGGATCGATGTCCGATGTGCCTCAGAATCTTCTGCAGCAGATCAAGGATTTTGAGGACATGTTTACCGTGGACCGCGCCAAGCTCAAGCAGGTGGTTGACCACTTCGTCAAGGAGCTTGAAAAGGGTAAGTCGATATCTTTTATCTATATGCAATAGCTCCAGTAGCCATCAGAAAAATGTGATGAAGCTAACCTGTGGCTTCCGATCAGGTCTCAGTGTGAAGGGTGGTAACATCGTGAGCTTGATCGCATCCGTTCTGGGAAGCTTGGACGCTGACCACTAGGACTACTCATCAGCCAATGAACGTTACCTGGGTTATGGGTTTCCCCGATGGAGAAGAACAGGGAACCTTTCTCGCCTTGGATATGGGTGGAACCAACCTGCGCGTTTGTGAGATTACCTTGACGGAAGAGAAGGGAGGCTTCGACATCTGCCAAGCCAAGTACCGCATGCCTGAAGAACTGAAGACCGGCACCGCTGAGGAGCTGTGGGAATACATCGCCGACTGCATTCAGCAGTTCATTGAGTTCCACCACGGAGAGGAGGGACTGGAATCATTGCCACTGGGCTTCACCTTCTCCTACCCGGCTACACAAGACTACATTGATCATGGTGTTCTTCAGCGCTGGACCAAGGGCTTCGACATTGACGGTGTCGAGGGAGAGGATGTCGTCCCTCCCCTGGAGGAGACCCTGAAGAGAAAGGTATGCCCTCTCCAGCTTGTCGTTGCCGATCTACAGATACCTGACATGTGTGCTTCACAGGGACTTCCAATCAAGGTCGCTGCTTTGATCAACGATACCACTGGAACACTCATCGCCTCGTCCTACACTGATCCTGAGATGAAGATTGGGTGTATTTTTGGTACAGGGGTCAATGCGGCCTACATGGAGGATGTTGGCTCCGTCCCCAAACTGGCTCACATGAACCTGCCCCCAGACATGCCAGTGGCCATCAATTGCGAGTACGGTGCTTTCGACAACGAGCACGTTGTTCTTCCTCTTACAAAGTACGATCACATCATTGACCGTGACTCTCCCCGCCCTGGTCAGCAGGCCTTCGAGAAGATGACAGCCGGTCTCTACCTAGGAGAGATCTTCCGTCTAGCCCTCATTGATCTCCTGGACAGCAGACCAGGACTGATCTTTCAGGGCCAGGACACCAGCAAGCTGCGGAAGCCGTATCTGCTGGACGCTTCCTTCCTGGCTGCCATCGAGGAGGACCCGTACGAGAACTTGCAGGAGACACAGGAGCTGTTCGAGCGCCAATTGAACATCAAGCCAACCTTGGCCGAGCTCGAGATGGTTCGTCGTCTGGCTGAGTTGATCGGTACGCGTGCGGCTCGTCTGTCGGCCTGCGGTGTCGCCGCTATCTGCAAAAAGAAGAACATCGAGAGCTGCCACGTTGGTGCGGACGGCTCCGTCTTCACTAAGTACCCTCACTTCAAAGCCCGTGGTGCCCAGGCTCTACGCGAAATCCTGGACTGGGCCCCTAACGAGAAGGACAAGGTCACCATTATGGCGGCCGAGGATGGTTCCGGTGTCGGTGCCGCGCTGATCGCCGCTTTGACCCTCAAGCGTGTCAAGGCCGGTAACCTGGCTGGTATCCGGAACAAGGACGATATGCAGAAACTGCTTTAAATGTCGATATCTGATATCTGGAAGGTTTTTCATTTTAGCTGCTAATGAGTTTTTCTTTTGGATACGGTGTTTTGGTATGACAAGTGGAAGCTGGCCTGGGTTTGACGAAAATATCCATGAACGCTATACAAGACTATGAATCTCCTGGTGTCTCGGAGGATGCGCATGGTCTCGACTTACGGTGGAGTTGCAGACCCTATAGAAACGACTCGACTGGAATGCAAGTGTCTGTACATACAATCAACATACAGACTCAATGAATGATATTACGCTACTAAACGTCACAGTCCCTACAAGTGCGCTGGATCGCCAGCATAATTAGTTATCTCGACAGCCAACTGACGGAGTTGAACTTGCCAGGGAACGGCAACGCTCATTGTTTTGCCTCTTGGAAGTTACCAACATCTTCTGCGCATTAATCATTCCAGAACATCTGCCGCAGCGGACAAGTGATATGAGGTATAAATCTGTGCCCCTCATCAAGGGATCTAGACGGTCAATCAGAGACAAGGTGAGCTCTTCGACAGCGTTTTGGGCCTGCAAATACGTTCATAAAGTTTTGTCCAAGGAAGCCAGCATTCCGGAGGCGACACAGGAATGTTCGAATACTCCCAAACCGACTGATCTCGATAACAGATGAGTTGAACGACACTGCGACAGATTCTTCGTCACCGTCTATGACATTTGATTGACGGGATCTCGTGAAGAAATACCCGTCTTGTCGTTCCTACTGCATATTCGAAAGTCAATCCGATACCCGGTTGACCTGACGAATGCGCCTCCGTCAAGGAGCGCGATGTTCGGAATAAATCATTCGACATCCCCATTTGTAAAATGCCAGACTCTTATGGCACCATGGCAGGCACGTTGCCCTGGCAGATGGTCTGGGCCTTATCCACAGAACTGCAAGTGTTTTGTTGTGATGCCTGGAAGCTGGGGTATCGTGCGTACCCTATACACAACACGTGGAACTCTTCATTTTCCCCAACTGGCATCAAGCTTTCAAAGAGAGTAGTTATCGATATTTAACTAACCTGTCTGTTCCTGTCAACTCCCCGAAGGAAGCCCTGCTCTCTTTTCCCCCTTCCCCCGTCCCTCTCAGGTCGCCCCCTAACACCTCACATCATAACTAACCACACAACCAATTACCCTTCCCAAATCAGCAGCCGGAATGAAGGCTGTCATTACCATCCTCACCACGGCCATGGCCATGACCGCTCTGGCCGTCCCCTATCGAGGCGCAAGAGACAGCGAGAGCGCCGAAACAGATACCACCCTCGTGCCAACTCCCACCAGTGAACTCCTCGCCCCCGCCGAGTCCGCCGAGACGGTCCACATCCATTCCACGAACGTGGCCATCGTTACGGTCACGCCGGCCCCGAGCGCGAGCTCGAACTCGACTCCCGCAAGCAAGGGTAATGCGGAGGAGGCGAGTGCTGCGGTGGAGAAGGATGCGAAGACAGTAGGTTTCCCCCTGTTGAGCTAGGTGTCAGGTGTGCTAAGCTGATGGGTGCAAAAGGATCATATCATTGGTTCGGTGAGTGAGTTGATGTTTGCTTTGCGGTGTGGTCACGGTCTGCTGGTGTCCCTGTTTGCTGATGATGATTGCGATTGATGGGTAGCTTATGAGCACGGTGAGTCTATCTTATCTTGGATTTGTTGGCTGTGGTATGAGCGGAAGCTGATGATTTTGTTTCGCCATCAAAGCTCGGTCTTGATGTAAGTCATATGTTCCATCTCAGGGTGGCCGCTTTCAGTGGGATGGGGTGCTGACTATGCGCAGGGCGTCGTGGGATCGCTGAGTTCATTAGCGTCTGCATAGTGATGGAGTCTCGAGCCATTTCATTTGATCTCTGCAGTGACTTTGAGGCGGGAATGCGATATGCATAAATGTTCGGCTTAAGCTGATGAGCCAGAAAGCCTTTATTAGCCGATAGTTGTGTGATATGTGCATCTTTGAACCGGATGATCTGAATCCTTTGGATGTATGCTAGATCTATACGATGCCAATGCCTAATTTGTACAAGAACAACTTTTCATCTCCTCCAGACAGCTCATGTCCTAAATCACCCCGTCTACCCGCGAATCTCCCAGAGTCGAATACGTCCCTGCTCGTTGGCGACTGCCAATTGATCCGAGCCAGGGGAGACAGCTACTGACGAGATACGGCCAAAAGGCGTGTTGGATGTGGGCCAGTTGCGGTACACTGTACAAGAGGGAAGGTGCACTGTAGAGTGTCAGTCAGTAAAAATCGATCCTGAGCAGTGACAGAGATAGAAGCATACCCAATCTCAATGCGTCCCGCTTCCACCGGCTAGCCATGACGAGGAACTGTCCGTCTGGTGCAAAGACCAGATGGCTGATGGGTGTGGTGAGCTGATCCAAGGCACGTACAGGCTCCGGGTTACGGGGGATCGGCGATGTCTCCGACGAGGCAGCCTGTGCAGCATATGCGGCCGCCCATTCGCGACGGTCATAGACATTGACTACACCGCTGGAACTTCCAATGGCGACCCAACGGTCTCCACCTAACTGTGTCCGTCCAGAGCGTCCACCAAGGCTGAGTGTCGTTGTGCCCACGGCACCGGCGTCCATCCAGCGAGCCACAACCCGGTTCAGACGTCCGTCCCATTCAGAGACCTCGCCGCTCTTGCTCGCGACAGTCATACCTTCTCCGTCACTCCACCAGGCGAAGTCGGCGACACCGCCACGGCCGTCCACGCGAACCTGGGCAATCCACTGCGCCGTGCCCGAGTGCAGAATGTTGATGATGCCACCTCCTTTGCGAGAGGAGCCGACCAGTCCAACATACCGCCCACAGGGTGACAGCTTGAACCGCTCCATCGATTTCTGTTCCTCTTTACGATCCGCAGTGCCATTGACCTTGTCGACCTTGCCACTATCGAGGTCCCAAATGTGGAAGTATCGCCGACGACCAGAGGCAAAGATCTTGTTACCGGTAGGGGGAGCAAAAGCGGAGGTGTGGATGGGCGTACGGCGGATGTGAAGTGAGGTGAGAAGAGGATTGGGTGCCTCCGCAGAGGGTGAGATGTGATGGATGAAAAGCGTTGCTGCAGGTCCGGACGACAGAAGCAATGGATAGTGAGGGTGGAACATGAGCGAGTCGATGGAAGACTGGCAAGCAGAAGCAATTAATACTAAAACCATTGATTGTTGCCGCTGACACAGAAAACTTACCGGCTGATCCTTGCCAACATCCTTAAGTCTGTGAATATCTATCACCTCCTGCCGCAATTTTCTCTTGCCTCCTGGGCCTGTGCTTTCACCAAGCTTGGTCAGATCAGTAGCACCTTGCAGCAGCTTGGCCAACGGTTGTGTAGACAGTCGCTCGTTCTCCTCGTCCGTATCCATGTCGCTGTCACGATCAGAGTCCGAGTCGGTCCGCTTTTTGTTCAATTCCGGTCTGGCCCAGTCCGGTACGGGGTGCAACTGCTCAAACTGTCTGCGAAGTCGCTTGATATACTCCTTGCCGCTGATGAAATCTTCCGCCTCGGTGACGCGCAACTTCCTCAACCTCTGGTGACTAGCCAGCGAAATCGTGAGGCGCTCATCGTCGCTGTCGTGCCACACCGCGCGATTCGTCTCCTCCGCTTCTGCGTCTTCTTCAGAGTCGGACCCCGCCGCGGAAGTCTCCGCAAGCTCAGTACCAACTGGGGCAGTGCCAGAATCGAGGAAGAAGAGCTGTAGGTAATTCTATTAGCACGCACACACCCACCGGGGGTGAGGATGAACAAACATCTGCATCGGCAACATCTGCCAAATCCCGATCGTCAAAATCATCACCCTCGTCCTCTTCACTGGCACCCTCCTCATCGCTCTTCGCCATCAACGCCATCATATCGCGATCCTGGCTCTTCAATGCGCCCATGAAACCTTCGTCATCACCGAAGAGCATTCTCTCCAGCTTCTTCTCCGTCTCATCCTTCTCGCGCACTTTCTCGGTTTCAACGCCGTCAACCTCCATTTCCATGTCGGAATCGTCGCTCTCATCAACAGACTTGGAGAAAGCTCCTTTCTCGAATGGAGATCGCGAGTTTGCCTTTCCGTTCTGGCGGGTCTTTTCCTTGACGGTGACGGTGGTTTTGGGCATCTTGCCGTTGTCGGGATGAGAAAAATCTCACAAGATAATAGAAAGCCTTTTAAATCAATACAACTATAAATGTACCATATATAGGAATCGCAATGTGAGATTATTGTCTAGATCGAATGAATTATCGTCTGCGGGTCGTCAAAAGACCTGACAATAATTTTCTTTTCGCTTCAACGGCAGAAGAAGGCGGTGATCTTGGCGGTGGGTATTGATGCCTTATGGTATCTTCCGGGTTCAGGCAGCAACTATTGGTGATGGTCGAGAGAGTTGAAACATCGAAAGGGACTAGTTTATTCCAATATGGTCGAATCGTCCAAGAGTAGCCTTTATAATGGCAAGAAGATGACACGCCGATTCTGCATAATCTCCCGTATGTATAATGTATTACCCTTGGCCTCGGTTGCATCGTGAATCGTGATATCTTATTGAAGCGCGACTAAAACATATACATGTCGTTTGGATCGCTATAAACAAATTTCTGGGAGTGTATAAGGTCTCGAGCAAAAAGCACGAGACTAGCCGGGAATGCATTGGCGCAAAAAGTATCCATATCAATCACCCAACGCCGACGCATAAGCATAACCAGGTCGTCATGATCTCTTGTTCTGAAGCGTAAGCTTTGTCGAAGATGACATTGTGTCATATTCTCCATGACTGCTGCTGGAGCTGGCAGACGCCGATGACGCTGGGGAGAAATATTCCCCATCAACTGCCGGGTCGTACTCAGTATGATCAAATCGGCCGAGTGGCTCGCTCGGCCGTGGGGGCGTTTCCAGCCCATCGCCCAGATCCTTTCCTATGATATCTTCATTTGACACAAATGAACCATCATCCTCAACGCCAGTCAGCAGTGCATTGCGCGGTGTGCGACCGTCATCCAGCAAAGCATCTTCCACCTCATCATCATCTTCGAGCAGCTCGTGAGTTGGAGATAGCGGTTTCTTGATGAACGTATCGATGATGTAATACTGGATCGCGTTCATGATAACTGGGAAAAGCAGCATGACGAAGATGATCTGCAGAGCTGTGTTCCCTTCTGTCCAGCGCAGTGCCCAGTCACCTACCTTGACAATGAAGGGCAGTAGTTGAATGAGGAAGAAGACGCAGATTTTCATTCCCAACAGCCCAAAGAAGTATATCATAGCCTGCTTGAACCACCAGGAGGCGCGTGGCGGAGAGCCATAGTTTCCAGATTCAATCGATTCCGGGGGATTCGCAAGGGCAGTATATGCCGCTAAGCGGTTTAGGATGTGAAGAATAAAGATGAGAATGGGAATTCCGAGTGTAGTCTGGTTCGGAGGTCAAATGTCAGCTCCTACATCACAGGATATTCCAAACCGTCTGGAAATGACTCACATCAATCCCCAAATTCAATAGATAGAACGAGCACGGGTTTGGTCTGTATTTGCTCGTGATTTCGAACTGGCCGGCAGAGAACATGGACATGAGTAGATTCGCGAGATGCAGCATTGCCGACCCAAAGACTTGTTTCGATACGTCAAATGCCCACACCTTCACAGGCCGCTGAGGTCTCTCCCTCCAGCGCTTGTATACCAAGGACGACAGTGCCAGTGCTCCGAGCGCCGCTTGGACTAGAAGCGAAAAGGGACCCAGCAGTCTGCATTCTCCATTGTCTTCTCCATCCGGATCATGATGTGGACCCGCCAGGAAGAAGGGTACAGGTATGGAAGAAGGTGTGGGTGATGATGTTGGGGGGCCACTGCTGATTACTGCGATGGCTGTAGCCGCGGCTGCCAGTGAAGTCATAGACGGGAGAGACATCGCTGCTCTATCTCCGCCTCCGACGTTCACAGTTTTCAAAGAGAAAATAAGGCAGATCAAGGCAATGGGAATAGGGCTCTTTCAAGAGCTCCCTATAATACGAGGGCGGCTCGTATAGCAGGCATCAGTGATGATGGATCAGAGTATAGAGTGTACTGCTGGACCAGCCACAATGCTCAGGCTTGGGTTTGGATAGATCAAACCGGGCGGAAATACATGAAAAGTAAGAGAAAGAGATGCAGAATGGATGTCCTTTACCAGCAAGGAGTCGGAACCAGCCCAGGTGGGTTGTCTTGAAATGCGACAAGTCGTCGGTGCCAGAATGAGACATGCCTCCGTCAGGTGGGCGGTTCATGGTTCACTAGTTCAGTTTAGTCACGCTGTTCATGCTGCAGTGCCAAGGCGCATAGATTGGTATCAATTAATAATTCCACCATCACTTCTAGATATCGAAACATGTCTAATAATTAATTTTGTTTATATATTTCTCTACGCTACATATTTGACCAAGAGAGGGATGAATGGCCAAACAACTCACTTCATTGGTGACACTCAAAGTGACGAGCAAGATATATATCGAAAGACATGACAAGAAGTACAGGCCAGCAATATTCAAACTCTTGACAACTTCCTGAATCATGCGTATCGTGAGTTCGATGTGAAGATGGACTCGTGATTTGACTCGAGGGCTCATGCACTCTTACAGTCTAGGCCATGGCGACCAGCTCGTACTGTAAGGGCAAAAGCCTGGAATCGCCTCACTCATCCATAGATCGAAACCATGTTTAGATCATCAGTCTCTCGACCTTGTCCTTGATGGTTCTGATCTGTCCCATCAGGTCACTGGCTTCGTTGGTGGTGATGCTGGCGGCAATCACGGGACGAGAGACACCAGTCGCACGGCCCAGAGCGAGCTTGCTAGGAACGTACACGTAAGGAACCTGATTCATAGTTAGTATTCAACCTGAGTAGAAGTATATCAAAAGAAACCATACGTTCTTATCTTCGCAAAGAAGAGGAATGTGAAGCAGGATAGCCAGAGGGGAGGTGTCGGCAGCGAGGATGACAATTTCGGCGGTACCACGATTGAGAGTCTTGGTAGCTGAAGCAGAATGTCAGTCAAGAACAAGATACAAAGGGATAAGCAGAAAGACATACCCTCATTCGCACCCTTCTTCAGCTGACGGTAGTGAGAAGCCTGCTGCACCAGATCCAGGAGGTTCTGGGTGAGGGCCTCGTCGGCAATGGGCCAAGCTGCACAGGTGGAATTCATTAGCAGATGGCCGCAAGACGAGGGTCAAGATTCGGCTTACCGGCAGAAGTTTCACCAGACATGATTTGAAGTGAGGGTTAGCTTTTCAAGAAAAGATGAAATGGCTCACTCAAAGGATCACTGCCGTATTGCAGGGTATCTAAAGAACAGGTGGAAAGAGAAGCTTGAGAAAGAGAAAGACTTTACGATAAGGGCCCTGCAAAGAAAATCTTGAAGAGGAAAATGGTCGGCGGGGCCGCAGGTGTCCCCGGCGCTAGTCCTTTTTGGGCTGGCCGGCACCAGATGGTCAGGGATCATTTCATACCTTAATTATAAGGCAATGACCTCATGCTAGTACGGTAAACCACTATTGTTGTTCTTCTTGAAGAGCATTCAATGAAACCCAGTTGAATTCTACCCTCGATTACGAGGCCATCTTAATAAAATGGAAAGGGATGTTAGCCTGGTTGTGGCAGCATGTAATCAGTGCTAATGGATCTAGATGGTAGTACGGAGTAGACCTCTAATTATACTGTAGACTTTCGAAGGCGATATCTTAAGCTCATGCACGACCCCAACTGAGCGCCGCCCCAACTTCTTGGAACACCTTGATCACGCTTTGCGGATGCATTTCTCTTAAAATATGGGCTTCTTATCCATATGTCCTAAGGTGATGGAGATCAAATGTCCACAAGCTGCCGATGTAACAGCATCGGAAAGGATAATAATATTGTTAGTAGCAACTGGCCGGCACAACAGCCCAGGCAAGACTAACTCTGTATCAATCCCTAGACGATGACCAGGGAGACTCATTATACCCGCCAGGAACCCTCATACCCGTAAATAAGAGCCACGAAAACCATAGGAGTCAAACGCCGGAAACCCCACAACCAACCCATGAGAGACAAGATGCAGCTCGATGCCTGCAAAGGGTACTCAGAGAAATCGAACAAAAAGAAAATAGCACCTCATTCTATCCCATGCTGCTGTTTGAGACGCTCCAAATTCTCTTGCCTTTCCGCCAAGTCCTCTTTCGACCTAAGCATTTTTTCCGGCTGATGGTATAATACTGGGACCAATAATCAGCAAAAAATATTCTCCTTACAACATGCGACTGCCTCTCTTGGGGTCATCAGGCGGCACATACCGACGAGGTATCTGTTCTGAAAATTGAATCCATTGAGCTTATCGCATGCCTGTTTGGCGTCGTGAACGTCCTCGTATACAACAAAAGCGGTACCCTTTGAGTTGTTCGCAATTCCTTGGCGTATTTGACTGAGACATATGTGAGATTACACATTGCAAAACCCAGAGTATGCACATGTTTCCCTCAAGAGCGTGGCTTACCGGATGGGTCCAAATTTGCCGAATAGGTCAAATAGTTGCTCAGCAGTCACGTTGTAGCTGCAAAAAATCATCACATCAGTCCCTGGTCATCAAGCGGCACTATTGGCAATTCGTATGTATGCAAAAGACGTGATAGTGGTCGACTGTCGATCTTGGAGCGGGACAGTGATGATGAAACGTACTTGAGGTTCTTGACAAAGAGAATCCTGGAAACCCTTTTGTTAGCATATATGATTATTCATGGGTAAAATGTCCGCAGATAGTCGAAAAAAGCCACTATCGCATGATGGAGGGCCAAGAGCAAGTCGGCAGTAAGAGGCTCTGGCGGAGGGGCAGATTCGCGCGATGAGACTCACCGATTGGCTTCGGGGGCGAGCTTCCGGCTCATTCTTGGGGGGACAAGGAAAGTCCAGAAAATCAATAGGCAAGAATATGTAGAAACAAGAGAGACACCCAAAGAGGATGGGATCAATCAGTAATAGCAGAAAGAGGAAGAGGGAGAAGGAGTAGAGAGAATCGATATCCGTATGGGCGGAGAAGCGCAAGGTGAGGTGACCACGAGGTTTGGAAGGGGGGATGCCTTTCCCGATTGGGCTTAGAGGCGCAGACGAGCCTCACTTTGTTGGTTAAGGTACTCTGTCGAGCGACGCCTATTATCATTATTTATTGGCGATCGCATTCAAGTCTGGAATCATATTGGACATCATACATCATCTATTAGGAGTTACAATTATCAAAGCTATGGTTAGGTAGTCATATTCATGCAGGAGACAAAGCAACGCTCAAAGTGCCGATCGCCAATGGCCGCTATCTCACCCCGGTATGCCTGGCCGCAAACGATAGATACCTCGATACTGATAGTAGGTCTGGAGTAGTTACCTGAGAAGGCTTAGATAGCAGTAGTACTAGTGTTCAGTTGGAGGTAGCAATCCCTGAGATAAGTACTGTACCCCTTTGTAGATAGCCTGTGTGCTGCTATGTAGTATGTAAAACTACTGCTGGTGGGCTCTGGTCGGCCTTCTTAGTCGCCTCCCTCTCCCTCAAGTCAACTCAACTCCCAGCCAACCTGTCACCCCATCGATCGTCGCTTGAAGAGTAATTGGCCGCGCTTTCTTCAATCATTGCCAGCAATCAATATCTTTCCATTCATCAAGATCTTTCACTGACCTTTTGGTGACGATTCACCCAACAACTTTGCCCGCCTGCCGCGGCGGTGCGTCTCACACTCGGTGCTGCAGTACTCTCCCGCCCTCGAACTAGCAGTAGTCGTCGGCAGAGGGAGAGTCAACTTTCCCTCCCCCTCAACTTCCCAGCGCTCCGGCGTGCGACCTTGCTCCCTCAATCTCTCATCCACTCAGGACTCGATTTCCCATCCTAATTCGCACTTCTCTATCGTTTCCTGACTGTGCGCTTTCATCCTGTGCCAGGAATGACTCTCTTTTTGCCTGCGGTGGCCTCTCTCTAACCCGCCTGGTTTATCACCCCCGCTTTGAACTCGCCTTCCGCAAGCACATCATAATCTTCTCCGGCCCTTTCCTTTCCTTTTACCTTTCCTCTATAACTCTCAGGCTTCATCATGATAGGTGCTACGTCCTTCTTGAACCACTCCGGGCCTCGACCGCCGCGCTACCGCACTCCGTCTCCTCCGCGACGCGCCGTGGAGCCTATCTCGCCTTTCACAACCACCGAGTTTCGTGCCTCGTGGATTGACCGCGGAGTCTCGCAAGCTGCGAGCTCTGATCGCGATCACATCACGTTGAACAATGATGTCTATTCTAGTACGGATCGGGGATCACATGGCCGAACCAGCCATGGTCGGTCCAGTTCCACCATCGACACTCTCGCGACAATCGCCTTAGCGACCAGTCCTACTTTTGCGCCTCTTTCGTACCGGCCTCCTTCTCAAGACTCCACACCTGCCATGCCACTCTTCCCTTCCGAGTCCATTGAACCTACAGAACGTCCAGCCAAGCGACCGCGGTCGGAAAAAGGTCCATCTCCCTTTCATCACCCGCAGACAGCCGTCGCGCCGGATGCAAATCCTTCCTCCACCTTCGACAGCATGAAAACCGATGCTGAGCTTCTTCTAAATTTCGCGAGACCAAGCAATTTCCACCCTGCCGCGTTCTATCCCTTGAAACGGGTGAGCATTGATGAGTCTTACTATCCTCATTACGGCGACGAGCCTAAGAGCCACTTTCGGGCTGGTCTCGGAAGCACATATGCTCTGGCGGAGGACGAGAAATCTGCTTACCTCGCTTCCACAAATCACGGGTTCCCCTCATCTCGAATGAGATCTCAGTCGGACGGTTCGGCCTTCATTTCTCGACCGGTCATTCAGGGAATACGGCCCAACACAAGCTCTTCTACTCTTCCGCCAATTGTTTGGCAAGAGGAAGAAGGCAGTACCGGAGTGGGACCAAGATCTCCAGAGACGAAATTGCCCGGGATTGAGGCACGATACGGAAGTCAAGTCTTCACTGCAGCAGAGACCAGTGCTGACCGGGTATCAATGGATGTGCCTTCCAGGGGAGATGACGATACAGAATCGGAGGAAAACAATCAGGCGAACTGCGCCGCCTGTAATTTGGTCCGAATACCCATGGATTCAGAAGAACAAGGGGATGTCACATGGATCAGTTGTGACGGCTGCAAGCAATGGTTTCATATCGTTTGTGCCGGATTCAAGAATGATCGCGAGATCAGGACAGTCGACAAGTTTATCTGTCGCCGGTGTCGACCGATCCACGGACAGACAACGTTTGTTCGAAAATCTTCTCGGGCCCGCACTGCCATTGATTATGCTGGTCTCAACCAGGGTCTTGTCAAGGCCGCCAGCGATTCTTTGGAGCATCATTATATTGAACCCATTCGGGAAGGCAAGATTCGCTTTCTTCCGGAAAACTTCCCTCGGATGAGACCGGAGTTGGTGACCGCCGAATACTTCGAACGCGGTAGCGGCATGACAGAGCCGATCGTTATTCCAGCACATCTGAACACCCGTGATTCTATCCCCATCGTCGACCCCCACTTTGACGCTCTCGTCCAGGAGGCTACGAGCCAAGAGATGTTCGATGAGCTGTTGGAGCATGTCCCTGAGGAGGGCGAGGATTTCGAGACCGTCGTCGATTGCGGCCAGGACCAGTTGGACATGGTTGTTCCTCAGGGTCTCACTGTCCGAACGGTGGCCGAGCTTTACGGCCTTGAAGAGAGGGTCGAAGTCATTGACGTCAAATCCCAGCAGGGCGAGGACAAAAGGTGGAACATGCAGAAATGGGCTGACTACTATGAGAGTACCAGCTCCAAGGTCGTTCGCAATGTCATCAGTTTGGAAGTCTCACATAGTAAATTGGGCAGACTGATACGCCGGCCCAAAATTGTGCGTGATCTTGACTTGCAAGATGCTGTATGGCCTGAAGAGCTCAAGGCGATTGGCGATTATCCGAAAGTTCAGTTTTACTGTCTGATGTCTGTCGCAGACTGCTACACCGATTTCCACATTGATTTCGGCGGGTCTTCGGTCTACTATCACATTCTGAAAGGCAAAAAGACTTTCTTCTTCATCCCACCTAAGGACAAGCATCTGAAGAAATATGAAGACTGGTGCAACTCTCCCGCGCAAGACTCCACGTTCCTTGGAGACCAGACCAAGGAGTGTTACCGGGTCGATCTGTCCGAAGGCGATACGATGTTGATTCCATCTGGCTGGATCCACGCCGTGTGGACTCCCACGAAC